CGGGAAGAAGAAGAAGAAGAGCAGAATCGGGCTGAGAAGAAAGATGAAAAGGAGAAAAAGAAATAAGCCATCCTTATCCAAAATCTTTCCCTCTTTAAGCCCCTCAACTTTTGAAATTTTGGCAATTAAGCCCAAAACAATATTTTTCCACAATCAAGTCCTTAACTTACACTTAAATATTCCCGAAAATTTGGGATATTACATTTATGGACTGAGGTAATGGAGTAAATTCATGTGTTTATTATTATTATTTATTTTTTAATTTTCAATTGTAATGTTTAATGTTTTTATCATATTATTAATTAAGAAAATATATGTGTTCACCACTTTTACAGGACGAAGGTCATTTGAGAAGGTCAAGTTCTATAATAGCTAATCGAACAAAAGGACCGAGGGTGACACATACCAACGGTTCAATGGACATTAATGTTTTTAGAAAGAAAATGATATAAAAGTTAACATATTTTTAATGAATAATTAATGAATTATGATTTATAATTTATTTTATATTGATTTTAATATTTTCTCTTCTTTTTTTTTTTTATGTTTACAGTGACAAGCAAACCTCAAGGGTCGTCCACCAACAATTCTAGAGGTCTACACTAGTAGAAGGCAACACAAAAGAAAAGGAAAAGGAAAATACCAACAGCCTGTATATTGTAATGATAAGGCTCAAGAAATTTGAGTAAGCATTTAACTTAACAATTTTACTTTAAATTATGTCATGAATTAATTGAAATTATTTTGGTTATAATATTGAAACTATTGTACAATATAGTTATTGGTAAAAAGTTAGAACTCCATTCTTTTAGGAGAGAGTAAATTGAATTTAGGTGCCTAAAGTGATATTTTAAATTTCACTTTAATTTTCAATACAATTAATTATTTATTTTGTCTTATATTATTTCAGGAAAAATTGACTTAGGGCAACTGGTAGGGTCAAGAAAGGATGGCTAAAAGGTTTGGATATTCACACACATCCACAGGATATACGTGTGAGCACATCTAGAAGAGAACCATTCAGGCCACCCATCATAGGACAGTCTAATAGGGTTATTGAATTAAAGCAGACTGTTGAATCATTGAAGGCAAATAATAATAGCCTTTGACAATCACAGATGACCCTTATGGTAGATAATGAGAGCCTATGGCAGCAACAGTTGACCCTAACTGCACAGATACAGCAACTCTACCAACATTTAGGGATGACCCCAACGGATACCAGTAGGACAGTCACTCCTAGGACACCGTGAGATATTTAGGTTTTTCATATTTCAATTAAATATTTGTATTTACTTTATATTTGTAGTAGACATTGGAGACTTATATATTTATAGTAAATTAACAAAAAAATTTAGCATTTTATATGATAAATATCATAAATTATGTGAAAATAATTTTACATTATTAAATATGTTAATTTAAATATCAATTAAATCATTTATATGTAAGAAATATCGAACTAAATGAAATACTTATACACAGATTAGTTTCAATTTGTATAACAACCGTAATAAACACACAAATGGCTGAGTGTCTTTTGACCCAAGCTAGTATATATGGACCGATATCGGTCCGTATATATCCTGTGAGGCTCAAGGCCAGTTAAGCCGGCTGCAAAATTATCACAATCGGCTACAAAATTTCCACAGCCCGCTCAGTACAAAAAAAAATAGAATGTTCGAAGCAGTCTAGCATCAGTCGGCTTTCATTCCCCAGCTAGCTCACCTAACCCTAACTAGTATATACGGACCGATACCAATCCGTATATAACCTAAGATGCTCAAGGCTAGTTAAGCCAGCTACAAAATTTTCACAGCCAGCTTAGTCCGAAAAAACAAAATGTTTGAGGTAGTCCAGCACCAGCCGGTTCACCCCAAACTAGTATATACAGACCGATACCGGTCTGTTTATATCCCTGTTAACATATACGAGCTGGTGTCGGTTCGTAAACACAAGGGAAACCCAACATAGAGCCTCGGTGGTATATACGGACCGTTATCGATCTGTATATATCTTCGTCAATATATATACAGATTGGTAATGGTCCATATATACTGGGACAATTATATCTTCATACCTAATTTAATTTATCTTTATAATTAAAAAACCATGACAGACATGTAACGGTCCGTATACAACTTGTAACTTTTTCATTGTTTCTTTTATCTCATGCTCAATTCGTTATATTCGCGTTCTCAACCATAACATTCCGAATGTTTGCGTGTCAAAGTGGTTAACCTTACCCAAAAAAATCAAGTTTAGTTGCTTGTGGTTCCGAAAGAACATTACCTAACCTTATATCTTAATAACTTTATACTTATACATTCATAATTTTGAAATGATATTATCTCGTACCGTCGTTAGATAATTTCAGGCAAACAATTGATGGTTTCACAATTCTAGGAGACTGTAGTGTCGATGTACACGCAATTGGTTTTCGTAAGAATGGATTTGGAGCACAAGAAGCTGGTGATGTCCTTAAATGAAGAGAATAAAAAGGTGCACAGGGAGAAGCTTCTCGATTTTTTGTTATATATTCGAACCAAAAACGGTCTGAAAAAGTGTAAGAGCATATAATATACGTAATTTAATTCATCTTTATAATTAACAAACTGTAATAGGCATACATACGGATCGATATCGATCCGTATATAGACATTTTCCATATATATACGGATTGATTTTGGTCTGAATATAACCAATTGTTGTCCATATCCCTGCACCAAAATTTCAAAAAAATTATCAAATTAATTAATTATTTTCAGACTGTAATCTATTTGTAAGGTTTTGCCTCTAGAAAATTTCACAAAAAATTAAACTTTTTCAGGGTTAACGCTTAATTATTTATTTACGGACCGTTTTCAGTCAATATATTTTCGCCGCTAAAATTTCGCTGAAAATTAAACTTTTTTGGTTTGTAGTGGTAAATTTCGGATCAATTTCGGTTTGTAAATGTTTGCTGCCTAAATTTTCAGTAAAATTGAAGCTCTCCGTTGGGCGATTATCTGGCACTGATTTGTTATTTTGGACCGGTTTCGGTCCTATAAAACCTATATATAACCAGTTCCCTCTCATTCCTTACCTCATTTTTCTGATTTCTCTTCTACTTCTCTTTCTTTTTCTTCTTCATCTCCTCCGTTTCTGGGTATTCTTTCATTTTCTTTCTTATTTCCTTTTGTTTTTTCTCTATTCCTTTTACTCTTTTTCCTTTCTTCTTACTCTTCCTCTCTCTTTCCTCTCTTTTTTCTCTACACTTCTTAATATTCCTTTGATTTTCTTACTCTTCTTACTCTTCCCCTCTCTGTCACGTTTTCTTTTCCTTTGATTTTTCTATTTTTTACAATCTTTTTTATTCCACCATTTTTTTGGTTCCACAATATGTTACAAATTTTTTTTAAAGTTTTATAATGTTTTTGATATTGGTATATTTTTATTATTTATATTTTGTTTACAAAGTTCTTTTTTGTTTTTGTTTTTGTAGGTTTCATATTATAAAAATTTGGTGAATTTTAAATTTTCTCTTATATATATATA